ACGGCTGCCAGGGCCGCAGAGAGCAGCACGGCGTGGTGCCGATCGTCCCTCGGAAATGCACAGCACCACGGCGGGGCGCGGACGGCCGCAGAAGAGCGCTGGCTGAGCGGCACAGCGCCGTGCGGCTCCGTCCCCGCGCGGCCCATCGGCGCCCAGAGGCGTTTGAACCCCGCACGAACCTCACGGCTTCTGCCCCATTCTCGCCTCCCTCCGTACCCACACGCTGCTTCAGCACACCGCAGGGCTGCGTGCGATGCTGCCTGACGGCACGCGGCGCTCAGCAGCCGATGGCACCGCTCACGCAGCGCAGAGCCGGGGCCGCACGGCGGGAGCCCTGGAAGCTGCTCTGAGCGCGTTTGCTTTAAGGGACCTCCGGCCCATCGCCGCCCACAGAGCCCCCGGGCAGGGGCCTCACAGAACCGCCCAGCCGCCACGGCGCGGGGCGAGCGGCCCGGGGGGCTCCCCGGCACCGAACCCCGACGTTCACGAGGCGGGGACGAGGGCCGGGCGGACCGCAGCCATCGCGGGGCCTGGAGCCGCCACTGCGCGGAGCGGATGGCACGAAGGGGGGCCGCAGGCTCCGCAAACGCGAGGACAGCGCCGAGCCGAGCCGAGCCTTGCGGGCCGCCGGGAGCAGCGCGGCCGCAGCACAGCGCGATCGCCCGGCCAGGCGCTGCCCGAGGCCCCGCGAGGTGCCGCCGTACTGCGCGTGCGCCGCACCGCGTGCCGCTGCCCCCCCCACCCCGCGCGGCTTAGAGTTGCGCATGCGTACGGCTCCCGTCGCGCCAGCCGGGGCGTGGCCGCGTTCGGCCGTACGTCGTGACGCCCCCGCGGGGGGGGCCAATCGGCGCGCTCGTTTCTCGTGCGTGCTGACGTCACGCGGAGGTGGTATATAAGCGGGCGGCGCCGGTCCCGCCCCCGTGACAGCGTCCGCAGCCGCCGCCGCGAGAGCATCCTCCGTCTCAGCCGCTCGCGCCGCCGCCGCCACCCGCCGCGTCGCCGCCTCCGCCGCCGCCCGCCGCCGCCGCCTCGCCGAGGGAAGGGAAGCGTATCGTATGTCCGCTATCCAGAACCTCCAACCCTTCGGTGAGGCCTTTGTGCGGCGCTGGGCCGGGCCGGGCCCGGCGGCCCCTCCCTGCGGCGGCTCCGCCCCGTGGCGCAGCTGCGCTCCGGGGCCGCGTTGCGTCAGCCGCGGGGGGGCGGGGGCGGGGAGGGGGCGGGGGCGGAGGGTGACGGGCGGGCGGGCGGACCAATGGGAGCGCGGCGGGGCGGGGCCGGCGCTGACGCGCTCTCCCCGCAGACCCCTTTGCTGATGCAAGTAAGGGTGATGACCTGCTTCCTGCCGGCACTGAGGACTACATCCATATAAGGATCCAGCAGCGGAACGGCAGGAAGACCCTCACCACTGTCCAGGGCATCGCGGATGATTACGATAAAAAGAAACTGGTGAAGGCGTTCAAGAAGGTGGGCTGTGGGACCGTATGGGGCCGGGGGCGGTGGGACACGGGGGGCTGTGGGGCCAGGGTAGCAGTCAGAGGTTTTGTCGTCCTGAAGGAGCTTTCTTCTTTCCCCAGAAATTTGCCTGCAATGGTACTGTGATCGAGCACCCTGAGTATGGAGAAGTGATTCAGCTGCAGGGCGACCAGCGCAAGAACATCTGCCAGTTCCTCGTCGAGGTAAGGCTTAATTGCTGAACTGGGAGTGGAGCAGAACCTGACTGCGTGCAAAAGAGCAGAGGAGGGAGGAGACTGTGCTTACTGAAACATTTGCTGGAGGAATACGTTATTCTGTGAGATTTTGCAGTTGCAGTCTTGTTTGCATTCCATGTTTTGGGGCGAAGCAGGAATTTGTCAGTTCTGCAGTGCAGATGGTGTATGAATGCTCACAGAGGTTTGAGTGGTGTGAGGTACTATGAAGTGCATTTTTTTCTTGCAGATTGGACTGGCCAAAGACGACCAGCTGAAAGTCCATGGGTTTTAAGTGCCCATGGGCCACTGAAGCTTTATGCAAGAAGATTTCCTTACAATGAGATTCCCATCTGTCCCTTGTCATAAGTTTAAAACCAGTCGGTTTGTGTAATGTACCATTCTTGGGTCCACTGTTCAGTCTGGACTGGTGTAATTCAGTGATGTAATAAACTGACAAGAGCCCATGCTATCTCGTCTTGCTGTCCCTCATTTAACAGAGGTAATTTGGGCGTTTAGCTTCAGGCTGGAAAACGCCACAAGTGCCCGGCTGCTCCCTGCTGAGCCCAGGGCCTGCCCCCAGCTCTGCCCCCAGCTCTGCCTCCCCTTTCCATGGGCAGTGACCATGGGGGCCCTGCAGCAAGGTGCCGAGCTGTGGCACAGCCAGGGCAGACAGGACCCTCTGTAGGCTGTCATTACCAGTGGTAGAGGGATCTGGGGAAGCTGAGCAAATGGAGTGACCTTAAGGCTGGGTGCCTGCAGTCCTGGCCTGGCAGGTGCTGATGCCATACAAGCCCAAAGAGCGTGGGCTGCTGTACCTGAAGGAACCATCGCCTTGGGTTAAACTTCTGACAAGGGATCAATCTTGGACTAATGTAACAAGTATCATTGTAAATAGAGCTGCAGAGCTTACGTGTTACTAGCGACTGCTGCCTAATGCCCTGTGAAGTAACAGATTTTTGGTTTCATTTTTAATGTTTTATGTAATGTATTTAAAGTCTTATTTAAATAAAAATGGTTTTGAAAAGTGTTGGCTTGGCGGATTATTCAGTTGCATTTTGAAGCCAAAATGCTTTGTTTCGGTGAGGCGGTGGCACAGCACTGAGCGCTGCAGCCCCGGTGCTGCGTGGAGCTGCTGTGCTGCGCAGCTGTGAGCGCAGTGCGACCCAGCGCAGGAAGGGGAACCAGAGCACCTGCAGTGCTGCTCTTCCTCATCCCTGGCCAAAGTTGAAGTAAACAGCCCAAGGGTGGAGGTTGAGTCCCTCCCTCGCTGGACTGGGCCGCACTGAGCCTTGCGCCAGGTGCCCCCTGCTTGCCCATAGGTGTGTGGGCTCAGTGCTGCTGCTTCGGGCCAGGAGCTGTGCTGCTGCTGCAGGGAGGGTTCTGTTCCTACAACCAGGCTTTGCTGCAGGCCGGGCCGCGGCTGGAGGTCACTGAAAGTGCAGGGGTGGAACAGTTTTGCAACAGGCCTGGAGATGTGGGTCTGCAAGTGCAGCACGAGCAGGAAGTCCGTGCGCTTCCCTCTGCAGCACTGCAGGCAGCTCCGTCCCAACCTGTGCAGCAGTGGCACCACTGGGAGCTGCGGGGGGTTGGCAGCCCTCAAAAAGCGTGTTCATCTACTTGCTGCTGTGGAAGGCCCTGACTTTCAGCCTGGTTTTCCCTGCACTCAGCTCACCTTGCTGCCCTGTACTTCCTGGTGAGACCTTGCTCCCGGAAAGCAGTTTGCTGCAGTAGCTGCCTTCCACCCATCGCAAAGGCACTGCGTGCCAGCACTGCTCAGAGCTCCTGCCTGCACTGAGGGACGTTGTGTGGTCCCTGTGTTGGGAAGGTAAAGAAGACAGCCCCGCTGCCTCTGCACACAGCCAGGGCTGGAGGAGCTGAGCACTGCCTGCTGCAGGGCCAGACATTTACCTGCTGGCTGCGAGGTGTCCGTGCTGTCCCTGCTCCCATGGCTGTGGTGCAGTGCTCTGATGGCACAAGGACGCAAGGACGGCCCTGTGCCCATGGGCACTGCAGCCCCACGTCACAGCCCCACGTCACAGCCCCACATCACAGCCCCACAGAGCGAGGCCTGCAGGGAGCAGCCGCTGTGAGCCCATCACAGCACGGCTCATTTGGCCCAGATTGAGCCATTAAAAGCCCGAAATGACAAAACAATTTGTTTGTTCTTTGTAAAAATCGCTCCCAAGAGGGATCCATTGATTGCTGCGGGCAGCGGAGGAGCAGGGCACGCTGCCTCCTGCCCATCCAAAGCCCATTTGTTTGGGGCTTATCTGAGGATTGGTTCCCTTCTGCAAACACGGCCAGGGCCGGGGCAGATGTCAACACGTCACTGCTGCATCCTCTATTGAAGGGATGAGGCAAATGTTCCCAAACACTGCGGGATGAGGGTCAATACAAGAGGAGCCGTGGCTCTGTGAGGTAACAGAAGCCCCAGCGCTGTTCCTCCGAGCACAGAGAGGGGGCTGAGCAGCCCCGGGAGTGTGGGGATGGTGTGGAGGGAGGAACAGCTCTGTGTCTGTGTGAAATACAGCTCTGCTTCACAGCCACTCGTGGCTGTACGCTCATTCTCTGTGGCTGTGCAGCACGGCTCTGCAGCTCGGCTCTGCCTTTCTGTGAACCTTCAAAGGCAGACACAGCACTCCGTGCAGCTGAGCCATGCAGCACTCTGCCTCTACAGAAATACTGCGTATGTGCCTCTGTGTCTGCTGCAGTGTGTGTAAGCACACATGCAAATGTAAGTACATCTATCTGCACAGACACACACATACCTGGTATGCAGACATACACCTGTGCACATAACGTATCTGTGTACCCACATCTCTGCCTCTGTGACCGAGTGAACACACGTGTATCCATGGTCCATGTACAGGTTTGTGTCCAGCACCACAGCGTGGTTTGTGAAGGGGCCCTGCAGCTGCTGCAGCCTCTGAGTGCCCCGTGGACCCCTGCCCCCCACATCCTGGTGTGGGGCACAGAGCTGTGCTGTGGGGCAGCTCGGAGCAGAGCTGGTGTGTGTGTGTGTGTGTGTGTGAAGGGATGTGTGTGCATGTACACATATGTGCACGTGTGTATGGATGTGTGTCTGTGTGTGTGCGGATGTGTGTACGCACAGATGTGTCTGCATGGATGTGTGCACCTGTGGGTAGATACGTGTGCATCCGTTTGTGTGTGCGCTGCACGGCTGCGTGCGTGTCTGTGCATCCATCCCTCGTATCTCTGCGCCCAGAACACCTCAGCGGTCGGAGCCGCCCCGGGGCGGAGCGCAGCGCGGGCGCCTTCAAAAGTGCGGACGGAGCGCAGGGAGCCGCGCGGAGCCCCGGAGCAGCAGCGTGAGGTGAGGAGGGGCGTGCGGAGCGGCCGGGAGGGGCGGAGGGGTCGAGCACGCCGCTGCCCGTCTCTCGCTCCGGTTTGCTGCTGCAGCCTCTCTCTCCCCTTCCCTCCGCAGCCATGAAGACGAAGGTGTTCCTCGGCCTCATCCTCAGCGCGGTGGTGACCGCCTGCCTGTGCCGGCCGGCAGCGAAGGTCCCGGGAGGCTCCCACCGCCCCCCCTCCAGCCCGGCCCGGCGGGATTGGCCCGAGCCCCCCGCCCAGGAGCAGCAGCAGCGCTTCATCTCCCGCTTCCTGCCCCACGTCTTCGCAGGTACCGCAGCTCCCGGCTCTCTCCCAGCCAGCCCCGGCCCCGGGCGGCTCTGACCCTCTCCCTTCACCTTCTCAGAGCTGAGCGACCGCAAAGGCTTCGTGCAGGGGAACGGGGCGGTAGAGGCCCTGCACGACCACTTCTACCCCGACTGGATGGACTTCGGCCGCCGGAGCGCCGAGGATGCGGCCGATGCTGCGTAGCCCCGCAGGGAGCCCCGGCACTCAGCCCATCTCTGGTCCCACAATAAAGCTTTGGCACTCCCAGCTCTGCTGCTGCTGTCGTTGGAGGTGCGGCTATGGGGGAGACAGCGAGCTGCCTCAGGTGGTCGCGTTTATTCCATAGAGATGGGGCACAGCTGCAGCGCTGCTACATCTATTTGTGGGGCAGAAAAGAGTTTAGAAAACACCACTTTAAAACCGCCGTTTGCTTTAGGAGTCAGTTCGGGTCCCGGCGGTGGGGGCTCAGCCCGGCACGTGCAGCCGCTGCTCCTCGCCATCCGGTTGTGCCGCCAGCAGGGGGGCCGGGGAGAAGGAGGCCGGGAGGCAGGGAAGGGGCCGCTCACTGCAGAGCTCCGCGTTCTGCCGCTGAGATAAAGCCCCAAAAGCGGCTGCCGGGCTCTGCGCTGCCCCGGGGCGGGTGATGCCGCCGCGCAGCAGTCGAGGGAGCCCAGCGCTGTTCGCCCGCGGCTGGAGATGAAGAGAGCGGAGGATTCGTTCCGTCCCGCGTGCCGTTGCCGTGCCCTCACGTGGGCGCATCGCGCTGCTCCCGGCGCTCCCCGTCCGCGTAGGACCGCTCCCCACGGGCCACCACCCGGTGCAGCCCCAGGCGCAGCAGCTTCTGCACGAGGTTCCCGCTGAAGATGCTGCTCCGCGATGCGGGTCCCCGCTCCCCCTCCTCCGCAGCGCAGGGCTGGTGGGAGAGCAGGGGGGCCCTCCTGGTGGGGGCCGGGAGCAGCACAGCATTGATGCCGCGCAGCAGCACGAGGCGGACGAGACCCAGAGGCGATGCGGGGCGGTGTGCCGGAGCCGGGCAGGACGGCCGCAAAGATTGGGGGCTGCGGTTCAGCCCCTCAAAGGGCCCACAAGAAGGCACGACCGAGTGATGCAGACTGCAGGGAGAGAGAGGAGTGGGGCTCAGCGAGGAGCAGCGGCAGGGCTGGGACCAGTGCTGCGTGCTCACTCATCGTGCATGCAGGGCAGGTCGTGTGGTGGTGTTTGGCTTCTGTTTTTGCTAATGCTGTGAACTCCAGCTCACACCAATGCCCTCCGCTCCTATTACTGCTTTGCAGTAGTGCTCAGCAGTTAAGGTGCCCATTCCTTGCTCCATCCTGAGCCCAGCAGGAAGGCAGCAGGCTCAGCTCTAGCCTCAATGCCTCACTCCTTCCACACAAAGCTCCCCCCCGAGGGTGGGGGAGAACAGGCAGGAGGGACAAGGGGAGGCAGCGGGGAATGGTGCAGGTGGGGAGGGAGGCACATACCTGGGGATCACCGTGGTGAGCTCAGTGGTGGGGTGGAGGATGTGGCAGGTGGTGATGGTGAAGGTGGATGGGGTCTGGGGGAGGTTGTTAGCAGAGAGGAGCACTGGAGGGGACAGGAGACGACGGGTTAATGGGACATGGAGGGAAGGGCACAGAGAGCAGGGTGGGGTAGAGAGTGGCATCAGTGTTAGTCTGGAAGCTGTCACAAGCAGCAGAATCCCACACCCAGGGAGCAGTGCTGGCTGTGCTTCAGCTCTATACAGCTCAGAGGAGACACAGGGTGCCCAGAGTGCTCCTGGACCCTCCTTGGCCACATGCCTTCATAGCACCAGGGCAGCTCTGTGGGAATGGACAGGCGGAAGGGAGGGGAGAAGGAAGAGCACAAGGGGGAGCACGGGGCAAAGAGCACAGGAGGGCAGAGAGGGACTGGGGGCCACGTCCCCCCCATTTCTGTGCCCACCGCTCACCCCCGGGGCATTCCATGGCTTTGGCAGGCGTGGAGGTGGGCAGCAGCTGGAAGGAGGCAGCCTCCACCTCATCCTCCTCCAGGTCGGTGAGGCTGTACACCTCCTCCAGGTCGATGTCCAGCGGCCTGAAGTCCTTAGTGAGCACCCCAGGACGCGGCACCAGGATCCCCCCCAGGTTGGGCTGCGCCAGCTGCTGCCAGTGGTGGAGCGTCACTGAGCCTGGAGGGAGGATACAGGCGTGCAGAGGGGCTCAGCTGGGAACACAGGACCTTTCTGGCACTCCCGGGGCTGCACGACGTCCCCTCGCGTTCCTCACCTTCCAGTGGCTTCACGATCTGCAGCTTGTCAGGCAGGAAGCTGAGCGAGCCCAGCGAGAAGCCAGAGGCAGCGGTGTGCTCAGAGCCCCCCGAGCAAGTGGTGCCGGCGGACACAACGCTGCCGTCGGGCGTCGGGATCCCGCTGGAGCCGTCCTCATCACGCAGCCGCCGCAACTTGCGCTCCCGCTCCGCATCGAAGAAGGAGCGCTCCTCCGAGTGGCGCCGCTGCTGCGCCGACAGCCGCTGCACCGCCGCCTCCAGATCCTGGCGGCCGGGGGCTGCCCGCGGGCCCGCCGTCCTGCAGGGGCACGGGGTCAGGGGCTCAGCGCATTGCGCGGTGCATTGCACGGCGTTCAACGACCCCCAGCCCCGCCCAGCCCCTCTGCCCTGAGCCAGCCTCCCTCCCCTCCCATACACACTCACTGGGGACCCTCTGGACTGGGGTGAGGAGTGCTGCTCCCCCCGGAGGGAGCAGCCGAGGTCTGCTTGGAGCCGGGTGTGTGCTGGGGGGATGCGGAGCTCGACCGGGCTTTGGCCGCGTGGTTCACTGCCTTCACCGTCTCGAAAACACGCAGACAGCTCCTGTGGGCAGGGAGCGGGGGATGTGTGCACGGGGCACACAGAATCGCTGCCGTCAGATCATCCCTACCACGTCTCCAAGTGCCACATCTCCTTTCTTAGGCCAATCCCCCCCCCCAGGCTCAGGTCATCTGCCCCCACCTGTAGTCTGAGGAGGACTCCGTCCCCTTCCTCATCGTCCCCTTGATCTCAGCAGCCAACGATTCCTGCAGGGTTGGGATGCAGCGTCAGCACAGGGGAGCTGCGCCCCCCCCCCCCGCCGCACCCCCCCCACACACCAGGGGCAGGAGGCTGCTGCCGGCGCCGTAGCGGCTGACGGTGCTGTTGGGCAGACTGCGGCTGCGAAGGCTCTTCACCTCCTCCTGGGCCTCCTGCAGCATCCCACCGCACTCCACGTATTTGTCCTGCAGGTCCTGCAGCTGCGGGGAGGGGGCACCGCTCAGAGCACAGCCCCCACCGGTGGGACCCGCAGCCACGCTCCGTCCCCAACCTCTCACCTCCGTCCGGAGATGCTGCTGCACCTCCTTGGCCGCGGCCAGGTGCTGCTGGAGCTCCTCCACCTCCGTGCCGTACTGCGGAGCGGTGGGCGGGGAGTCAGAGGGGGCTGCGTGCTGCGCCCCCCCGGGGTCCCTCAGCACAGAGCAGGGGAGGGAAGCTCACCGTTCTGCACTTCTGCTGCAGCTCCACCACCTGTGCCAGGAGCTGACTGATCTCCTCCTGCTGCCTCGCCGTGTCCTCGGCCTTGCGGGCCAGCTCTTCTGACAGACAGGCAACCTGCTGGCTGGCTGCAGCTGCGGGGGAGCACCATCACCATCCTCCCTGGGTGCTCCCCAGCACCCAGCAGGTGCCCCCCACCTTCCCCCCTGCTCAGCCCACATACAGAACTGCTCCACGCAGTCAATCATCAGCTGCTGCTCCTGGTCCTCGTACCGGTTGGTCTCTGTCACAATGGTGGTGGCCTGGAGGAGAGGACAGGGGCTGTGCTTGATCAGAGCATTTCCCCCCCAGCATCACCACTGGGTGCCCCAAGCTGCCTTCACCTCCAGGCGAAGCTTCTGGTTCTCCTCCTCCAGGATCCGGAGCTTCTGCTGCAGAGCATCATACTGGAAGAACTGCTGCAGGGACAGTGAGGACTCATTCCGGCGCAGCCTGGGGACAGCAGGGTGGGCGCTGAGCACCTGCAGTGTGGGCAGGATGAGGGCCTGCCAGCCCCCTGACCCACATCCATGGGGCTGCCCCATAGAGCCCACTCACGGTGTGATGGGGGCAGAGGTGGGCTCGCTCTCCTCAGTGTTGGTGGTGTAGAAATGGAGCAGATCATCCCTCATGGAGACCTCGTGGCGCAGCTGTGCGATCTGGGGGGACATCAGGGCTCAGCTCAGGGGCACAGCCTGCAAGCCCCCCAGCACCGGGCCGAGGATGGTACCTCCTCCTTGGCCAGCTCCAGCTGCTCCTCCAGCAGCTCATTGCGCTCCGTCAGGCTGCGGTTCTGCTTCAGCAGGGACTGCCCAATGCGCGCCGCCAGCTCCAGGTCTCTCTCTTTCTGCAGGAGGCAGGGGGAAATGGATCGAATGTCAACCAGGACTATCCCCTCTGGTCCCTGTCCCACAGCCCCAGGTCCCCGTGCACCAGCTCACCTCATCCAGCAGGTTGGTGACAGCATCGATGTCGTGGTACGTCTTGGTGATCCGCACAGCACGCTCAGTGCACAGGACTGGGGGAGAAGGGCGAAAGCTGAGCCTGGCTGTGCCCTCACACAGGGCTACAGGAGGGGCTCGGAGCTTCCCTGCTGCCCCCTCCTCTCGTGCTGCAGCTTGCAGCCCACCCATGGGCAGGCGCTGCTGCCCCTGCACGGTGATGGGCGATGGCTGCAGCAGCTGCGCTGAGCTGCCCTGCACTGCTTCCATTTACTGGGCAGCAGCAGCACAGTGCAGGCAGGGATGCTCCTGTGGCACTGTGGGGCACACACCAACATCACCCCACATCTCATTGTGAAGGGGAAGGTGTCAACGTCCCCCCCATCCTGATACAAGGCACACGGATGGGAAGGAGGGGCCGAAGGGAGGTGATATCTCCAACACAAAGCCAGGCTGGAAGCACTGGCACAAACAACGCCATGCAGCACTGCGTGAAGTCGAGCTGCAGGCAGCGTCCCCCCAGCCTGCCCCAGCCCCCTCCCCCAGATGTCACTGCAGGAAGCCAGCCCTGCCCTAGTTTCTCCATGGGGTCGCTGGCCGAGCACAGGGATCTGCTCTAGCCCATGTTCAGAAGCAAAGGGACAGAGCCCACAGCATCCCAACCCCACAGCCACAGCGGGGCCCAACAACAAGATCTGCCTTCTTGGGGTGCTGCGCCCCGTG